TATTAATTACAATAGCGGCTTTCGATGGCTTAGCCATCATCATCATTTTTCTGCTGTATGGAAGCCACAAAAACTACCACCGACTAAACAATATTGTTGGCAATGATGGATGGATGGAACGAAGGTCACTCCAAAAGTTTTGAGAATGAGCAACAATGAGTTACTCAGCAGCAATGAAACTATTTCCATTGTTAGGTGAAACTTTTAGTGAGAATCTCGCGCAAGTTTGAACACGCTCCGGTAATTTATTAATTTAGAAGGGCTATTTGTGTTCTATTAGTTGTTGTTCCTCTGCCAGTAACGATGGACTTAAAGAGAGAGCATTTCAGAGCTATGATTTTGCATGAGCTCGAGAGATTACAAGTGTGCGTTTTGGCAATGGCTGCGCCTTCACAAGCCACTGGTCTATCGATAGTTTGGCCCAAGGAAGGGAGTCTTTGGAAGATGAAGACCGTTCTGGCAGGCCCAAACGCAGAAACAACGAATGAAAATGTGCTGAAAGTGGAACATTTGCTAAGGGAAGATCCTCGTTGTACATATGCTCAGATTCAGGAAGCGTTAAAAACTGGATCAGCTTTAAATATACATGATTTGTTCTTTCTTCTCTGCCAATGGACATATTGTGACAGTGTCACTCGAGAAACAAAATACAGTCACCGCAAGATGGTACAATACCATTTGATTGCGCAGATTGTTAGAAGAACTGAGAAAGATCCGTCCAAAATCAGGTTTGCGTGGAATCCTGCTCCACCATGACAACGCCTCATCCCACACAGCCATAGCAACAACTGAATTTCTGACAGAATTAAGGGTTAAATCACTGTCTCATAGCGTGTGGTGGAGAGTACTTCGAGAAGATGTGAAGGTAAGAACTTGTTATCTCAATTTTAAATATAGTATTCTCAAAACGTTTGGAGTGGCCCTCTTAATTATTTCATGGTAAATTCCAAAGAAAATTCACCACAATACGAATAGCTTTTTATGCCCTAACCGTCACATCTCGAGACCGTACTCACTGTACGGGTTCTAGGGGATGCAGGGGATGCAATGGTGGGGCGAGGGCCTCGTCACGTCGATGGCGAAGTTGCGGCTTCTCCGATTGATTCGGCGGGCAACGGGGAGTGGCAGAGGTGTGGGCGGAGGGGGTGGCGTGGTCGAAAGCGTGGGGAAGCTTCACCGTAGGCGGCCTGTGAATATTTGAAGGTTGGGCTGCGGCTGGCTACCGCAGCTACCATCGTGGCGTGACGCACGACTCTGCCCTGAAAACAGGAAGTGGCGCCTGCGAAAATACACCACTTTTTCCGCCGGGAGTACACTCCGACGCCAATTGGAGGTGTGATGATGGAATGACCCAATTAAAAATCCAGAGGGATCTTTTGATGGATTCGCGCATTAATTGCTTTTGTGCTGATTTTTGTATTTTTTTGTATTTTTGTCAAAATGGAATGACTTAAAGCGGTAGATCTAGTTTGTCCATAGTGCATGATCTTCGCTGCCCGGGAGACGGCGCGTCGAAGGCTGTGTGGCCGACGTTTCGACCATCTTGTTGTGATCTTCCTCAATGATGGTATGCTGGTATTCCTAAGGAAGACCACGACAAGATGGTCGAAACATCGGCAACACAGCCTTCCACGCGGCATCACCCGGACAGCCCAGATCACGCACATGACTCTGGCCTCGGAAGCCTACGACTTGACTTAGTTTGTCCACAGTTCCGAGACAACGTCAACAGACTTCTAGATTTGTTGTTCGTGTGCTTTTTTTTTATTTTTTGGAAGGTGCGATGCCCATTTCTTAATCTGGTCGCCTTCCTCACACCCAAATTACAGTTCATAACACTTCCTTCTCAGAGGATTAACATTCGGTTTTTGCGATTTCAGTCAATTCTCTACAGACATAACATAAGGTATTTGGACTATTTACACAATTATGAGGCATTTCTTCTGAATTAATACAAAGCACAAACCTTCACGAACCTAGAACATCAAAGCCGCTTTCCACGCTGTCAGATCTCTCAATGGTGGAATGCAGTGACAAACATTCTACTGAACAAAACAACACAAAATGGGTTCCCAAAAATAGCAGCCACAACTCACGAACAAATAAAATATTCTAGTCATACAATACCATTAAATATTGTTACAAAAACAGCATCCACGAACACTGCAATTGTATGGTGTAGTATATTTTTACAGAACAACCGTTTTTTGCATACTGACAATATAAAATTTGTGGGCTGTTCTCCTATGTAAGCTTTGAGGTAAAACCATTGTTTTTGAAGTTACTGAGTATCTAACGAAACTATAGATCTTTGAACAGTGGCAGCTCGCGGTTTTTCAAATGGGGAAGGCTGCAAATGCACTATATTGCATTGAATTGTATTTCATGCACTGTACTTCTAAATATAATCTCTCCCGATATAGGTATAAGGGAGCAGCAGTTCTACCGCATGTTGGGAAAACTAGTTGATGAACAATGTTACTCGCTGAGCTGCATAGTAATGCCATCTAGTGAGCACGCCCTTCTTCAGAACCTAGGAGCCAACCTTGGAAGCTGCCTAGCCGCAGCCTTAGTCCCGCCGGTAAGACTTTGCTGCGAATGAATGACGTCAAGCCTCCTCATTTTACACAGGCCTTATGGCGGAATGAAGTAGGAGCCTAACGCTTTTCTCTTCCTTGTCAACAGCTTCAAATGCGTTACGGCCACACGTTATCGAACTGACAAAGAAAAATTTTGATACGATTGTTACCTAATATAAATCAGACATGTATTATTAATACATACATTTATAAATACGTTTTTAAATTTTTTGGGGGTCGATTTCTTTATAAGTGGCTCCGCCTTACTGCCTTTAATGTCGCCACTTGTTTTGACTCAAGGCCGGAGTCTGCATCATTTTACTTTAACTTTGCGTACATTAGGTATTAATAATGTAGATAGATAGTTTTGGACTTTTTTCGAGTTTCCAGATATCTAATAAAACCATAGATACATGTCCAAAGTTTGCGTAGTTTTGTTTTACAATTTCAGTGTGCACGGAAATTTAAAAACATAGATATTTAACTAACGTATTATTCGAAAGCAATATTTGTATGAATTTTTAAAAATAGATTGATGAACCATTGACAAAACTTTATATTGTTAGTTTTAGTGATTTAAATATTTAAATATACAACCTTAATCTTTTTTTTCCGATTGGAAAATACTATCTGAAGACTATTCTCGAGACGCCACTGGTTCTGGCCCATGAAACAGGAATAAGAAAGTTTTAGTTCTTCGATACTTCGATCAGCGTGGACCATGTGTTGTTTCGTAGAACCGTATAAAGTTTTGCGTACAAAGAAAAGGAATTCCGTTTTATACAACTGGCATTCTCTTTCAGTTTAAGTTAAACGTAAAAGAATGTTCACTGTGCCTGAAAATCACTGCGTTTGTCGTGACAAACTTGGCAAAATTTCTTGGTACTTGGAAAAATTTCTTGCTAAAATGATGTTGCTACAATGTATAGATGGAAAATCAGAAATTCACTTACTATTTTTACAAAGGTGTTATTAAATTGAAGCAAAGCCTAGTCCAAAATTAACATAAAAATCTCCAATTTTACATATTTGCATAATTGAAATTAAAGCTTGTCAAATCGTCTATGCACGTCTTTGTCTTCAGCTAGTCTCACTACACACCAAGTCTCATTACCTTCTGGACCCTCAAAGTAAATTATTAATTATACATATATATATATATATATATATATATATATATATATATATAATTAATATGGATGGAAATGATAAAGCATTTTATCTCTTATTATACGTTAGACATAAATGTAAAGTCTAAATACCAACGTGTATCAAGTACGTTTTATACCAGACGAGATAATTATTATTTAATCATAAATTATTGAATGTATTTATTACTTTAATTGAATGAAGACAAAATATAGTACATTACACAAAACAACTCAATTTTTAAATATCATGGTTTTGGAAAAAATATACTTTCACCAAAACAGTAGACCAAACAAACGTTTCAAGATAACGTCCGTACAATCATTAATCTGGAAGTAGCAACTCATACTCACATTGCATCCCGTACGGAATCAAAATAAAAAACTCACTGTTTAGTTAAGAACTAAACATACATTACATCTTCAAATGCCAATAAAATATCGTTAAGTAGTGTAGTTCCTTATTAGGGTTTAATCTGCACTCTCAGCATGCACATATTTATGAAGCAACTCCAAAGAAATGAAAACACTTGAGACCAAGAACGTGAACCAAATGAGTGCTTTTGCCTGTCCGGTTGTCGCGTCGAACGCTGTGATACCGACAGTAACCGATCAGTAGGTCTACAGAAATAAGATCTTCGTAAATTATGTACACTATTTGAGCTCTTATGACTCTAAGACTACCCTGAAAGGTCTACATAATAAATGTCTACACATTGCGCTAGTCTGCATGAAAAAAATACAAATGAAAGAATTTCTAAATGCAGAAATGTCTACAGGCTAAGGTGTGTATATATGAAAAATAACCATTTCACGTATTATACTCATAATAAGGATCTACTTGTAAACGTTTGTTAGAGTTCTTAGTGAGTGTAATTATAAATGCTTGTTTAACTCGAAAAATATGTTTAGAAAATATATGCGTGTTGGACAGTTTCATTAACATCATTCATCAGATTCTTCTACTTCCTCATTTATCTCTAATTCCCAACAGATATTAATATAAAATAATAACATATAAATATTTTATTCAATGATTTATAAAAATAAATACACATCAAATCAATTTTCATTTTTATATATTGAAAACAGCCTGTAATATTCAGGACAATTAGCGTGAGAACGAATATCAAATCATTATTTTGTAGAATGTTAACACCCCTGAAAAGGCAGCAATGTCGAGTAGGAGGTAATAAATACATAAAAAATCATTTATCTGATCGACTTTGCTATTAGTAGACATGTTAGACGTAGACATTTTTGCTGTGGACGTTTAATCATTTGAATTCATATAGCTGTAGATCAAATTTTTATTAAATATTTTTTCTGTTAGACCTTAATACAGTAAGACATTTTCCCTGTAGCTTGAAGCATGCCGACTGACCTTGAGCATGCTGACGTTTCGACCAATGCCGAAGACTTCCTCAGAGCTGACGTCACGCAGCCGACAGCCAAGAGCACTCGCAAGACAGACAATAGCACGCGGCAGCCTGCGACTTCACGCGGCCCAGAGGACACTCACCTGTCCAAGGCGATGGCCACGAGGTGCAAGATGGAGGCGGTGCAGCACAGTACGTCGCTCGACGTCCACATGTCGCACAGCTCGGTGCCCAGCGTCCACTGCTTGCTCACTTCGTACACGGCGCCCAGCGGCATCACGAGGCACGCGACCAGCAGGTCGGCCACCGCCAGCGACAGGATCAGGTAGTTGGCCACGTTCTGCAGGTTCCTCTCCAGCAGGATGGCCGCTATCACGAACACGTTCCCTGCAACGCGAGGCAAACGGTCTTCAACACGTGCCACGAGTTTGCCACGAGCGTTGTAAAAATGAAATTAAAGGGTTATATATGTTCAAAGAATGGATAAGATCAAAGACAAGGTGACAAGCTTGGATACATTTATAGTTTAGAAACACATTTTCGGAGAAATTCTCTTTCCAATATGGTGGCAAGGCTGTGATATATTAGAAATGAAGTGAAAGAGATTTTACTCGTAAAGCGAACAATTCTTAAATGTAAATAACAAATTCAATCTTCGTTTTGAACGTACTAAGAGCAAAAAGAAACAAAATTTTCTCTAGAATGTATCTTTTAAGATATATACTTTTCTGCTTACCCGTCTCTTAATAAATTTTCATAATTACGACTAAATATATTCAATAGATACAACTTTCTTACGCTTTTTGCTATCTAGAAAAGGAAAATAGTATCTGTTTTAGTGTGATACAAGTCTAAAAGATATTCAACATATTTTGTTGTTATGTTTGAGGTTCCAAAATTTGAAAAAAAAGAACTTTTTCAGACGTGAAGAACCTATAAAATAATTAGAAAATAATTTTTATAATTATACCTAAAAGATAAACTATTTCGTTTGATAAATGTTGTTATTCTGTTACTGAATTAAAAACGTGCAATACTTCTAACGCAGGCTTGCGTTATCTTTGCTAACACAGTGTATCACGATTATTACGTGCAGAACACCTCACTATAACTTTTCAGTTAACCCCGTAAATTCCGAGTTTAGTCTAAATACCTTTTGTGATGAATTCGCCCTTCCTTCTCTAATTGTTCATAATTGTGCCAGCCAGCAAGCAAAGCTGTGTATTTGTAATGAGACGCGATTTGTAGAACGCCCTTGAAAAGTTCTCTTTTAACGAAACGAGGTCGGAGTTTGCGAGGTTGTCCCGATCTGTTCTGTTGCAACATTCGTCTTGAGATTAAATTCAGAGCAACCTCCACCCTCCACCCCTGGAGTTCCGCAGGGCTCGTCGTGTTTCAGCTGAGGTGCGGAAGCTGAGTCGGGTACATGTTCGGTAAGATATTTTTTTAAAAAAACAATCATTTTTTTAATTTTATCATTTTTTTAATCATTTTTTTAATCAATTTCATTTGTTTAATAAAAAATCTACAATATTTTCGTAAGAAAATTATGTATGTTTTACATGTGTGACATTTTGGGAAGTTTCCGAAAAATAAATTTAAAAACTTTCATGTCAAGCGGACACGCTCCGTTTAAATGTCAAATTTTGTCCCATTTTATATCGTACTCTATCGAAATAATTCGATAGAATACATTTTGATGCCACCGTTAGTGGCTCTGATGATCTTTTCGCCATTAGTATATTGCATTGCTATGTTGTTTGATCTTTATATACATTTTAGTATTCACGTGTTCATAATTGAGCACGGTTTTTGATTAGTCACTATTAAATGTTTCAGTGAAGTTCCCGTAATATATTTAAAAAATTATTTCACAAAAAATTATTCTGTAAATTATAGCTGTAAATTATTTTGTAGTATCCTAATATTTAGATAATTGTATGGTCTAAAAGTCTGCCAAATTCGATTAATTTACTTGTTAGAGTTATAAAGAACAGGAACTAAATTTGTTAAAGAGCAAAATAAAAATATCGTAATAAACTACAATATTTATAACAAAAAAATAAAGTAAAGATAATAAAGTGAAACTAGTATTATAGCATTTAGAAGAACTCATTAATACTGAGACAGAATTTTAACCTACATCAGTATCAAAGTTTTCTAGAAATGGAGATGTGGAATGCTTAATTTTGACCATCACTTCTGTTGCATTCTCGTGCATGTGCCCTTAACAAGCCGAGATGCTTCGCAAAGTGTACAATGACGCGAAACAAGCCCCTGGCGGCCTAGCTCGACGTCCATTCCGTTAGATGAGCTACGCCGTCCGCTAATCTGTCCTTTCCGTTACGTGCGCAGGCAGCCTTGCTCGAACATACACATCACGCAAGCGTGACCTCTCCATCCTCTCCATCCGGCAGTCTGTCGAGGCACATGGCGTCTTCGTCAATAATAAACCTGCCCTACGGCATTCGTCATGTTACGGGCTGTCGATTTCCTCGCCGAATACGAGAGAGGTAATTATTAGATAAGGATAAATCAACTCTAAATGACACATAAGAACATTGTGTTTGTTCTTTTGCAAATGAGTTCAGGAACTGCAAGAAGATACAGTATTCTTTGATTTAAAATTCATGCACTATGTGAGTTCTTTTTGAAAGTAACACTCTTTATATTCTGAAATTTAAAAGAAAATACAAGAATGGAAAAGAAATATGAAAGTAGAAATACGAAGCCAAAATACCGAAAAATATTTTGTCACAGTGTCAACTAAAATAAACGTTCCTATTTCTCCCTGAACAAAACCTACTCTTTCGTACCTAACTCTCTTGATATACTACTTTGAGTAGTTAGCTTTAGAATTAAGTTAGTTTTTAGATTAATTTAAGTTGCAAAAAATACATACGTAAAAGTACTATAGTACTGATCTATGTAACTGGCAATACCAATAAACAGAAACAAAAATGTTGTATACCCTTTAATGTACAAACATTTCTCATGACCCCTGTGAAATATCTGTATCGATCGATTCACTCAATATAGCTAGTTCATTGCAGCGGCATCCCGCGGCAAGACACCGCCCATTCGCATTGCATCTCTCTCACCTGCCAAAGCCCCGTGCAGGAGCCAGCCGGCCCGCCAGCGCCGCCGCCGGCCATCAGGCTCGATTGTTAACTGGGCGCGTATCGGGCCTGCGGTATCCGATATCGGGCGGTCGGTGGGAGGAGTGGATTGATGGGCTTTCGGCCCAACCCCACCTCCCGCCCCCCACCGCTCCCATGGCGGTCCCTCGGGCACTTAACGTTCGCGCCACGCGATATCGCACAGCAAGTGACGGAGGCGGCGGTGGCGGCGTGTTGCCAGAACTCCGCCGTGAAATCTGATACGGAAGCATAAAACGCGCGCGTTCATAAACTACATTCCGCGCGGTTAGTGCGCGAGTCGCAGATAGCGCTCCCGACGCCCGGACTAATTGAATAACGCGCGTTTTTACGGCCGCTCGGCGGCAGTTTGCAGTGCACGCCCAGTCTCTGCCACTGCCTAATCCCCTTTTCAACGCGTTGCCACCCTCTGTGGTCCTGTCAGATTAAACTTCCTTGGGACGGTGACTGTTATCCACATATCTCGCCGTCCAACCCCCTAGGAGCTTTTCCCTTCGATCTCACAAGCACGTGATCACACACACGTGATCACAAGCACGTGATCACTCAGTCTATTTTCCGAAATATCTGGTCATCGCAATCCACTGTTCGCCAGAAGACTCACCGCATAGACATTCGATTGTGATCTGGCTGTTCATTTCAAAGAAACGAATCCCAGGAATTCAGTCCGGAATCCTAATTGCAAGAGCCAAGCATTGTGTATTTATCTAATCAATTCCACATTCCTGCAGGTGGTTCTATTCCCAATCCCTACCTCCCCAAAATGTTATCTCACTATCTCAACAGCAGTCTGCTGAATCACACCTATTTTGTAAAATCGGTCTTTTTGTCATTCTTTCATTTTCTCTCGGTCACTCTCTCTGTTCCTCCCTCTGTCTCCCCCTCACCCCCACCTATGTCCCAAACTCTTTCTGTACGTCTCTGCCATCCAATCTTTCTGCTTCTCTTTTCTTACAGTTAATTCACATCTTCCTCATTTTCAATACTTTTCACGATTATTTGCAACATTTATTAAATTAAAGTTAAAACATGCATATAAAATAAAGAATATGCTCGTTATTTATTCAATTGGAATAAAATTTGCGAAACTCGAACAAACAATTAAGTTGACTCAACATTTCTGAAGATCCAAGTAAGGTGTCTTTTTTGAATTATTTAATTTACAAATATCACATTTACGTGAATGAAGTTCTATCATCTACCTTCTATATAATTATCATGCTTATACATTGCTTGAATTTTTCTTTATGACGATATATTTTATAATTATGAAATATGTATATCGTGTATGCAATAATTGACCTTAGCACCACTACCAAATATATTTGCCATCGCATTTTAATAGAAACATATTTCCGTTGGAATGTTTTATTTCCGTAATGTAGAGCCACATGCCAGACGTTATTGACACGAATGCCATTCGCAAACCAAAACATTGCGCAAAAAGGACGAGAAATGCTCTCACGTTACTGCACATCCACATTCTCTCTTCGCTTTCAAATATCAGACAGTAGGGCAATATACAAATCACACATGCCCCGAAACAGAGGGCAACTGTGATGTCATTTCCAACGTGCGGGGGGGGGGGTGCCGAAGCGATTCCGCGCCGAGGGTGGGGGTGGGGAGGCTATTGTAACGCCGCACTCGTATCTCGTAACGCCATTTAAACGTAACCGTATCGTCGCAGCGGCGGGGGAGGGGCGGGGCGGCGGTGACGTGCTGACAATAGGAAATCGACCGCCATATTTGTCAGATGGGCGCCGGGCGCACGCGGTGCAACCTCTTTATTAATAGCTCACCGTCCCTCATCTACCCCCCCTCCGTCCGGGCGCTTGAAAGTGTTTGGAATTAGCGTGATTAGCGGTGTTCAATTCTCCAACTTCGGAAAAGACATATGACGGTCCGAGGGCCATTTTCTACTAGAGACTGTCGTCAAGTTATGAATGCGCTTTACACTGAATGGAATATAAAGTAATTGTGGCGTGTTTCGGTGCCGTCATTTGCCGTATAGGATTTTCAGCACGAGCGGGCGCCTGCAGTTCCGTAGCAATCACCTTAACTCGTCTCGAGCCCGGTCACGTCCGCGACGCGGTCGAACTCTCCCGCCCGCGTGCGAGGAGGGCATGCGCGGGGAGAGGCGTCGGGGAGTGGAGTAGGGAGAGGAGGGGAGGGGGAGGACGGGAAAGGGGGAGAAGGACGGGGAGTGGCGAGGAGGACGCGGGAGGGAAT